CTGGACAGCTGGAAGATTAAAAGCAAAACGATATGCGGGATGGTTGAGGTTGCCAAGCCCAAATGGAGGTTGACCCATCATCCGATCCTCGTGTTCGGACAACCAAAACTCCGGAGTTTCGGTGTTTTGGGAAATGAATGAAAACCTCCCAGGCAGTTGCTGTTGTCCATTTCGTGGAGTTTTTGCCACCATAAATTTTCCGGGTGAAACCGCGACGGGTTTTGAGGGTTCCAAGGGGGTTGCCGAGGTCAGCCAAGCCATCACGCTGGTTCCAATGGGCTGCTGGGACCATACGGCCGAGCTTTTCGCTGGGACCAACTTGCACGCGACGACCGGAATGTGTCCTCATAGAACTCCATGTTCGATAGTTTGGGATGGATCCGTTTTTTGAGTGTGCTGGGTGCGTTGCAGACGTCATATGAATCAATCAGTCTCACTATACTACTGTATATTTAATATACAGTACATACATAGCCCTTGCACCCTATTTTTGTAAATTCGCCCAACTGCACCTTCCGATTGTCCAAACTGACCGAACTCGGACGCGGAACGCGGGGACGAAAGGAAGGAAAAACCGGGGGAAGCTGGAACCATCATCTTCGATTTTTTTCCCAACTGGTCTGAGGATGGTTTGCCATGGGTGACCGTGGGATGATCCCGTGCGGCTTAGTGCAGCAGGCGATGAGCGAGCTCGCGCGCGCTGCTGGACGAGCGACGGGCTCTCCGCTGGTTTGGTCCCAATTTGTACCCTCCCTGGAACAAACATGTAGGTGGACACCCTCCCTGTTTGTAGAGGAAGATGGTTTTGCCAGGGGCCATGCAATCCACTTCCCATGATTGTTCCAGGAAGGGTCATCATATCCATCAGTCATCATCAGTCCATCTTTGTAGTAGTACATTCTTCCACAAGGGGGAGGTCTTCCGCACCCGAGCACGGGGCATGCAAGATCGTGTCAACATTGGCAACGAATTGCCCCCCCCCCCCCCGACACACACACAGAACTGTACAAGCCAACCTACCTAACCTGAAGAATCAGAGGCGTATGTGCAAGCAGCAACTAACGAGGCTACAATACCAGGCAACGGAGTCATCTAGAAGAAACTAGGAATCAGCCACGAGGGCCCCCCCCGTCTTAAAAGGGCTGAAGGTACGACACCTAAAGACGCGCTAAAGGCCCGATGCAACTAGACAGCCAATTCAAGCCGTTTAGCAGACATGTAACGGCCACTGTCCACTACGTCGCCGAACGGGTTCAAGTCAGCTACCTCCTGTGCCCAGCCTCCTTGCATGCAGAAGAGGCACTCGTGCAACTGTACACATGTGATCACCCCCCGGACGCCACTCAGAAGCGCCTCCCCAATCCCGAAGCTCGCTGGTCTCGGCCGGTGGCGGGGGGATATTTCGGTCAATTCCCGCCCGACGGCATGTGTCAAGCACATGCTGATCGGCCCCTCGGGGCCGATCGTTTTGCCATCCCAGTTCATCCCAGTTCTGGACCTGTGCAGAATCTGGGGTGGGGGGACCAGTGAACAGCACCAGTGTCGGTTGAATAACATGGACAGTCCAGTGACCTATGTCAGGGCCTTTCACACCTAAAGAGTTTGCTGCAGATATCATCCAGTCCACGTCCATATCAGTTTGGTTTTCTCAACAAAAAATGTAGCGGTGTCCAATGACACAGTTCAGATTGTATTCCACAAAGCTCTTTAGAGAAAACATCGGGTAGCGGTGGCTCCAGTGAAGTTTGGTGTGGTATCCATGTGCCAAACTGGTATCCACGTGTCCACGTGCGGCAGGCACGTGCGGTCTTCGAACAGCACACGGCGATTCCCAACTGGTTCACCGGGCAGTGAGGCCGAAGCCGAAGCCTGAGATGGAGGTCTTGTGTTGAGCAGGCTCTGTCTTGTGAGGTCTTGTGTGACACAGATGGAAGGTGGTTGTTCTCAATCACGTGGGCATGTTGTGCTTTTTGAAGATCGATGCATTAATCCGTTTTTGTAATCGGCAGATATCGGCAGTAATTGCTATACCGATACCAGCTTCACATGTTGAATACAGGTCGGCCCTAGATCAAGTGAGTGTTTTGATCCTCTTCGTTTATCGGATCAACCAATCCAACTCACGAATATGGCTCCAACAGTGTCACTGGGTTCAACCCGCTAGAGTAATTAGATGCTCGGTCATTGCAGTTCAGGTCAAGTTGATGTCACTTCCTTGATGACTGGCAGATGTCACCAGGTGTGGTCACTTCCTGCGCACCTCCTTGCCAAGCCCCCGACCGAGGCTGGCCTTTTTGACATGCCCGGGCACTGGTGGTGCCCGGTCTGGTGACGAAGACCGAAGACACCGGTGGCCAGTCCTGGTCAGGGCATGAGCAGGTCATCTGGGCAATGATGGACATGGCATATGGGTTTTACATCCATGGCATGGACCAAAGCAGGACCACAGACGTTTTGAAGTCGATGACTCCCCGCTTTGAAAGCTGTCTTAAAGAATCAAAAGCACACGAAGTTTCCCTGAACTCCAGAGTTATTTGCAGAACATACAAGGCCTATATGCCAGGCCATATATGGTCCCGTCCATTCCTGTTGTGTTGTCCCGTTGGTTCCGTTCTCATGTTTCTTCATCAGGCAACGATATAGCTGCATGTGGGGTTCCAAACCAAATTAAGGCTGGGACTCAAGCTGGTGAAGATGCGTCGCATATCATTGCCCAGAGTCTGGGATGCGAAGTATTGAGAATAGTTGCTTAGCTCCGAAGCCAGGGCTGTGTTCGTCCCCTGAGTACCGATCTTTGTCTTGTGGTGCTGTAGAGAGCTGTGGACGGCCCAGAGCAGTCTTTAGTCCTCGACGGTTCTCGGCGGCTGCGGGCACCTCGCATTCTGCGGGTGCCGCCGCGGCCGGCGGCCCTGGCTGAAATGTTTGCGAGAGGATGTGGTGAGTGCCCAAGTAGTTGGACGTGAGTGTGTGGACAGCCTGCGGATTTGGCTGTGGCTTGTCAGATCCGATGTTGTTTGCATATATAATATATATATGATTTGTTTGCAGTTTTGGCGACCATGCCGCGGATCACTGGAAGACCCGTTTGACTGGGTACTTGGCTTGGTGTTTTCATCGTAGGCTGGCTTTGACCAGCACAGGTGGCTAACAGGCATCCACCCATGTGAATCCCCATAACCGATGGAGGTTTGGGGAGGACATCTTTTCCTCACCCTGGTGTGATGCAAATCCTTGACTTCGTTTGAGCTGAAATGGATGTTATTTGCCTTCAACACAAAGTGCTAATCTGGTGGTGCATCAAGGCGATTGATGCCCAAAACCACGCTAGGAAGACCTCTCTCAAGTGATGACCCACACTTAGACTCATCTCACTCATCTCATTCAATGTACAAATCCATTCCATTCACATGTGGGACATGACCGTCGATCACCATCGATGCTCAAAAGGGTGGACATGTCTGGTAGCCGCTTTTGGCTGGACTTCCCGAGGAACGAAAGTGAAATCGACGAAGCAAATGACACCAGGAAGTCCAGGCAACAATAATTCGTCGCATCACCGGGGGACTAGCTAGATGTACAGCTTCCAGCTTCCAGCTGGCCAGCCCCTCCCATTCTTTCAGCAATCTGAAGACATCTCACCACTTCGTGGAGTTCTCACAGTGCCTGCCAGAGCCCTAGTGCCTTTGATCCAGACAATTCTGACCGAAGATGGACCTGCAGTATCAGGAAGTGGTGTTGGGTTTTTCTATCGCCTCCTTGCCTTTCTTGTGACACGCCTCCTTTTTTATCTGTGATTCAAATCAGTGCGGGTGCATTCAGAGAAGCCGTGCAGCCCACCCGTCAGAATGATAGACACAGAGATTTGAGATTCCTATCTTTAACTTTCTGAAGCGTCACATTCATCCAGTGAACGCCTTTGTCCCGACCCCCGCGACCGTCGAAACAACACGGTCGCACGGTCCCGCGCCCAGGTCGCGGGTGCATATTGAGCAAAGCAGGGTGGCCTCCAAGGGTAGCGCATGTGCTGCTTGCAGCTCGGTGCCAGCCAATCTTCAGCCCGATCATTTCAACCGCCTCCGGGGGGTATTCTTGGAGCAGTGAGCTGGTATTCTTTCAGATTTCTTTCCAGGCTCTTTCGGAGTTCTGAGGGTTTTTGGTCGTGGGAGTGCGATAAGTTGAGCTGAAACTATCTGAGACCGGGCACAGAATGCTCCACCAGCTGTTTGGTTTTGGCACTTGAATGCTTAAGCCATGCCTTATCCAATCACCCGCTGCAATTTCACGTGTTTCTGTTCCAATGTTGGTCCTTCATTGATCCTTGCCAGGGTCCGAAGAAAAGCCTGGAGGCAATTTTTTTGGCACGTTCAGTGATGGTTGATTTTCCAGAGCCCCTTGACAGATTGAACATTTTGCACATTCTCTGTTTGACAATGGACAGTTCTGGCAAATAAAATTCAGACATTTTGGCCAAGCAGACAGTGTGGGGAAACAGTATATCAGGCTAAAACGCATGCTTTAAATACCCTTTTGAGCTTCGTGCTTCATGCAGCTTCGACATACCCTGCAGCATGAGACACTTTCGGTCGTGTTGACTTTCGGATTTGGACCGCCCGGAAAAACGATGTGATCGTTGCTGTTTGGCCGCATCAGATGCGAGGGGAGTTTGTCGTGCAGAATCTTACGGCAGCACAAAGTGCCAGCCAGGTTGATTTGCTGAGATGGGATGGGCAAAAAGGAGGGCATCACAAGTTCACTAGTAGGTTGGAGGCCATCGCTACTACTAACTACTAGGTTGGAGGCCATCGCAAGTAGGTTGGAGGCCATCGCTAAGGACTGATTCATTCTCCGATTTTTCAGGATTGCACACAACTACCATGCCTAGATGATGCGCGAAGGTAGACAATGTGCTGGCATCATCCAGATGGCACAAGCCCAGACCCTTGCTATACCTTAGCAGACTTTGGTGTGATGGAATTCGCATCCTGCGCACGCTTTGGGGTTCAAGAGTTTTAAGGCCTTGGCTCCGAAACGTCATTTGTGACTTGGTCATCATGGCGGTCCAATGGCTTTTCCTCGCCCTGCTGCCGTGGGCGGCGCACGCCCAACTGCTGTTTGGGAATCGTTCCACATTGGAGGAGTTGGCCAAGGTGCAGAAGCGACGAGCAGATGTTTCACTTAAAATAGGAACTTCACCACTCCTTGTAGTTAGTTCAGGATTTCGACGCACTCGTCAGTTTCAGACAGTACCATGGGGAAAACAGGTACCTTTCCACCTCGAAGGTCAAGGGAATGAGGAAGCACGTGCTCCTCCGAAACGCAAAGAGCTTGTGTATGTAGTGTGTATGTAGGCTCTGTAGGAACTTTCTCCGGTGTGTCTTTTTCAGGCGACCTGAGCGCCGTATCTGACAACCCAACGGACCCCAAAACAACCCACTGAGGGTCCAGTGTCCGACACGAGATCCAATCCGGGAGGCGGCCGAAGCAGTGCAAGAGGAGGCCAGGCGGCAACGTGTTGGACGAAGGAAGCGTCCAATGGGACGGTCGAAGTCATTGTTGTTCCACGAAGGCAACATGCCTTGTTTGGTCCGTTTAGAAGTTTTTTTCTTTCTTCCCGGAGTTCTGCTTTTTTGGGATCTAACTTCGCACGCGCACCCATTCCTGTTCTCTCTCGGAAAACAGTGTTCACGCTGTTGTCGAAGAGACTGCTCCCTGTGACCAAACAAGTGACTTGTGTGAGCAGTGTTGTTTAGTGAGTGTTGCCTAGGTTTTCGTTCTGTGAGGACAACAGTTCAGTTTTTTCTTTTCATGTTTCAGCAAAACACACCAAGAAGGAGCAGGATGGGAAGGCAGCGTCATTTGAAAGGGAAGGGCTGGCTGGTTCAGCCTAGCAGGTTGTGAGCACAATTCGGTTGAATATGGCCTGCGGCACCATGGATCAAAACATCTATGCATGAGGTGCCAATGTGACACTGAAGCAAATGCCTGGAATGTTTTTTTCTCCAAAGGCTGCATGGAGAGGCCCCTGCTACACTCCAAAGGATTTCGCAAAGAAGCCTTTGACAAACCACTGGTTTCTCAACATCGCAGGGCCAATTATATATATATATATATTTAAGTATACCGATAGAGGATGAACGCTCATCACTATCCTCCGACCCAGGACGTCTTCACTGGCCGTGCCAGCATGTCTCCAGCGCCAGGCGAGTGCCACCGATGGATTCACCCATCCAACGCTCTGCGTGGGGAGCCCGGTGGAGCACGCGGATGTTGGTCGACCACGCGGATGTTGGTCGGGTCACACCATGTCTTCTACTGGGTTTCATGTTTTCACCTTGTTTTTTTGGGATATTTCAGCATTTCGAGGGCCACTGGCTTACAAGCTTTTCCCGTTTGGGCCACACACCCTGCATTTCCTGGAGTTGGCCACACCGGACCCGGACACCGATTTGAGACGGCCGAGGATTCCAGCGTGAATCAGACAGCCGGTTACATCTCAGTGAACTTGGCCGCTTGGAAAACGGGTTCTTTGTAGGATCGATCGGATACATCTCCCACCTGAGACAGCTCTGGGCTTAAACGCCTCTCAAAGACGGATTCCTGCTTGCTTTTGGTGGATTGGTCCCTGATTTTCAGGGTCGGGACTTCAACAATTTCTCGGAAGGGGAAATGCAAAATCCGCTCAAAACCATCCAACATTTTTGGGATCCTTGCAGATCTATATAGTTTGATGCCAGTTATGTTGAGACTGGTCGAATCATTGAACCTTTTCAACCAGTCAAGTCTTCGGCCCCCAAATGGAACAGAAACTCTTCGGTGGTCTCACCTGGTGTGGATGTTGAAGAGACAGCCTGACCAGCTGGTCATCTCGGACGTTTCAAACAGCTGGTGTTCTACAGCTGGGCGGCGAGCGAGCGCCCAGCTGTAGGACATCACATCTTTCATCTGCAGACTCTGTGAGCAGAGCAGAGTGGCAATCAAAGTGGCGATCAACAAAGAGGAGGGTTCAGTTCCCCACTCCACCATGGGCCCGGCAAGTTGGTTATAGAAGCGCTTGTATCAACTCCATTATTTGCTTGGATATGTGTTTATATACTGTGTACAGTATACACATACCCGTGACCATTTCCTCTATGAAATCAGGGGGGTCCACGTGCCCCATAAAACGTTGCATGGTCCCCCCCTACGGGGGGGGTCAGCCCTAGATTCCATAGAGAATATTGAGATTGTGGTGTGTGCTTTGAACAATGAATGGCAATTTTGGCTCCAACAGTAGCATAGAAGTATTATGAAGTATGAGAAGGTAGGCTGAGGGACCTGAGAGAATGTCTTGGTATGTAACATGTTTCTATCTTTTTCACATCGCGAACACGCCGGCCCCGCTCCGCTCACGCTCACATTCCTGGGCCTAGTAGTGGCAGTAGCAGTAGCAGTAGCAGTAGCAGTAGCAGTAGCAGCAGCAGCAGCAGCAGCAGCAGGAGGAGTAGTAGTAGTAGTAGTAGTAGTGGTAGTGGTAGTGGTAGTGGTAGTGGTAGTAGTAGTAGTAGTAGTAGTAGCAGGAGTAGTAGTAGTAGTAGTAGTAGTAGTAGTAGTAGTAGTAGTAGTAGGTAGTAGTGTTCTCGACGTGTTTTTTGGCAGTCTAATGTAATCATATGTAAAATTATAATTGGTGAAGGGGGTCCTTCCTGCCATTTTATAGAGAAAAATGCGCGCAAGCCCAATGTAATCATATGTATATATAATTGGTGAAGGGGGTCCTTCCTGCCATTTTATCACGAAAGCTAGCTGTAGCTAGCTGGAGTCTGTCTTGCTTTAGCAAGGAGGGTGGGAACCCAGGACCTGAGTGCTAACGCCTGATATATCAGGGTTAGACACCCCTTCCCCCCCCCCTCCCCTCCCCTCCCCTCCCCTCCCCTCTCCTCTCCTCGCCTCCCCTCTCCTCCTCCCCTTCCCCCCGCGCGGGTTGAACTCCACCCTTCACCCCCGGACCCGTTCTCAGTTCCCAACGTGCTGTTGCTGTTCTTTGTCGCTGCTGCTGCTGCTCCTGTTTGTATGTTTCTTAGTTGCTGCTCTTTTGCTGCTGTTGCTGCTGTTGCTTGGTGGTTTGCTACTACTGCTGCTGCTTGGTAGCTGCTGCTTGGTGGTTTGCTGCTGCTGCTGCTGCTGCTGCTGCTGCTGCTTGGTAGTTGCTCCTGCTGCTGCTGCTGCTGCTTGGTAGCTGCTGCTTCTGCTTGGTAGCTGCTGCTTCTGCTTGGTAGCTGCTGCTGCTTGGTAGCTACTGCTGCTTGGTAGCTTGGTAGCTGCTGCTGCTTGGTAGCTTCGTAGCTGCTGCTGCTTGGTAGCTTGGTAGCTTGGTAGCTTGGTAGCTGCTGCTGCTGCTGGTAGCTGCCTGCTGCTGCTTGCTTGCTGCTGGCTGCCTGCTGCTGCTGCTTGCTTGCTGCTGCTGGCTGCTTGCTGCTGGCTGCTGCTTGGTAGCTGCTGCTGCTTGCTGCTGCTGCTGCTGCTGCCTCTGCTTGGTACTGTACCTGCTGCTTCTGCTTGGTACTGTACCTGCTGCTTCTGCTTGGTACTGTACCTGCTGCTTCTGCTTGGTACTGT